AAGAGGAGAAATGTTTTTTAAATGTATGATAAATTGACATTCATCATACAGGATGTGTAAAGAAATTGTGAATTGAGAAAAACCTTTTTACAAATCTGCGATTGAGGTCTATAATTATAACAAGTTTCCATCGTTCAAGTTTGAACCCTTTGATTGGGTGAAAGTATTGAAAAGAAACATTCTCAGATATATTCATGAACACAAACAAATGGATATATATCTAAAGAAATATACATTGAGAATTCGCATTCTCCATGTGACGAGAATATCAATTCTTTCTCGGTTTATTCAACAGAAAACAACTACTTTTCTTGGCTATATGCCACGACGAATATTTCAAAATTTTCGAATTCTCATCGTGTGTTCAATAGATGTAATTCAATATTCCTCGTGGCATATAGCCAGAAAAGTAGTTGCTTTCTGTTGAATAAACCGAGAAAGAATTGATATTCTCATCACATGGAGAATGCGAATTCTCAATGTATTTCTATACAGGGTGTTTCATTGGGAAAGGTAAATAATTCAACTGTGGTTAGGAGTCACTGAGGTGATTTCAAAAAACCCATGGTTGATGGGTCTTCGACTTCTTATAACCGAGATACAGGATGTTTCATCAATTTTGTCTATATCTTCATTGTCTCATAACTTTCCAACCAAGCTGTATATATTTTTAAAAATTGGTACACTTGCTCAATTTACCCTGTGGAATTGATTGAGGCAACAACAAGAGATAAAATCCAGGTCCGGCTTCACTCAAAATTCACAAATTCTTTCTGCCAGAAAACAACACCCTATACATTCGAATTTCTCATTTTTTTTTGCCATATCTGGAAAGAACATCAAAATTTCTATTCAACGATGTGCTTTTCATTCGTGCACAGACGATTTTTAACTATTAATATTATGTGCTCAAAATATTATTTTTGCTCATTTTGGGGTACAAAATTGGAATCAGACGAGATTTATCAATTTTATTACTTCCTGTTCAGTATATGTGAGTATTACATTTAGAAGGAGTATTTCATATCGTTCTTTGTTCCAGACTTAGTTGCAGGTCCGTCATCAGAACTTTACAGGGCTTTTCACGATGAGCGTTAATTTGACGTTTTTGGCAAACCAGGCAACGGATAAACCTGAAATTTCGATGGAATGTATAAATTAACATACTCTACACTACTGAAATATTTGAAACGATCTGGCCTTGCCGCTTCTACTAGAAAGTTGCAGCAACTTCGATTTTTCAAATGGGACACCACCCTGTATTTCATTATATTCTTGAATTATTGCTGAACAGCAGAATTCATTGATTCAAAACATTCAAGGTCTAGCTGGACTGATAACTGAGATATAGGATGTGGAAAATCGAGATTTTTCAACTTTAGAAATGTTTTGTGTTGAAACTATTTATTATTGCATGGTCAAAACGGCTTCAATGTCCCCATCACAACTTTCTATTCGATATTCAATTGAAACAGATACAGGGTGGTGCAGAAATCTGAATTATGAACCGTCCTGTATTTGTTTCGATTAAATGTCAATAGATACAAAGTTAAGATAGGGACATAAATGCGGTTTTGATCAATAATAAATATTTTCGCAAAATAATTCTAAAGTTGAAACATATCGATTTTTCTCACTCTAAATATCTCATTTATTAGTCCCACTAGACCCAAACCTTTGTGAATCGATTGAATCAGCTCTTCAGAAAGCATCCAGGGAGTCCCATTTGAAAAATCAAAGTTACTGCTATACTTTCGAGTAGAAGCGGCAACGCCGGATTGTTTCAAATATTTCAGACGTGTAGATCATGTTAATTTATACATACTTTCGAATTTTTAGATTTATCCGTTGCCTGGTTTGCCAGAAACATCTAATTAACGTTTATCGTGAAAAGCCCTGTATAGTTTTGATGACGGACCTGCAACTAAGTCTGAAACAAAGAACGATATGAAATACTTCTTCTAAATGTAATACTCACGTATACTGAATAGGAAGTAATAAAATTAATGAATCTCGTCTGATTCCAATTTTGTATACCCCAAAATGAGCAAAAATAATATTTTGAGCACATAATATGAATAGTTAAAATCGTCTGTGCACGAATAAACAGCACATCGTTGAATAGAAATATTGATGTTCTTTTCAGATATGATGAAAAAATGAGAAATTCGAATGTATAGGGTGTTGTTTTCTGGCAGAAAGAATTTGTGAATTTTAAGTGAAGCCGGACCTGGATTTCATCTTTTGTTGTTGCCTCAATCAATGCCACAGGGTAGATTGAGCAAGTGTACCAATTTTTAAAAATATATACAGCTTGGTTGGAAAGTTATGAGACAATGAAGATATGGACAAAATTGATGAAACATCCTGTATCTCGGTTATAAGAAGTCGAAGACCCATCAACCATGGGTTTTTTGAAATCACCTCAGTGACCCCTACCCACAGTTGAATTATTTACCTTTCCCAATGAAACACCCTGTATATATTTCCATTTTTTTGTGTTCATAAATACCGGGTGTAACAAGATCATGGTACACCCCCCGTATCTTCGTTAGTTTCAGCGGTAATTGATTGCAATTTGAGATATTCCATAAACATGATAAGAGGCACTTTTTGACCTACAAATGTTTTTTTTTCCAATTCCGGTTTCGCCGGAAGTTATACCAGCTCTCGATTTTCAAATGGAACACCCACTATAATATCACATTTCTGAAATCTGCATAATTTTCTGAATCCAATGATACCACATTAGTGACATTTCAAACGTGAAAATGTTCAATATTTCAATTTTTAGTTTTCCATTTAAGTGTGCCGTGATGGTTCCGATTTATTCCAATTGACCCGTCTAATGCTAGAAAAATCGAAATCCCGTCAAAAATACTAAATTGCGTTTTTTATGTGCAAATGAAGTTCATCGTAATCGATTTTGGAGTAAAACTCAATTTTTTCAAATGGAACCATATTGGTACCGTGGTACCATTTATTAGTACTATTAATAAGCAATTTATTCATACCTGCTAATAAAATGTGCGATAAATATAATCAAAATCACAGCTAAAAGAAAATATAAATATACAATTATTTTGTTCTAATTTAATGCTGAGAAGTTACTGAGGTGGCTTTGAAAACAATGAAGTTATTCCTTCAGATTGTCAAATAAATGTTTGTTGGTTTATCTGTGATGTTATTGTGTATTGGAAAAGTCTTTACATTTGTTGTTATTCACGTTCAAAATGCCGCACATTTATACAAGGGATGAAAAAGTGGACATGTTAATTATTTATGGGGAATGTAGAAAAAATGTCGTTGCGGCTAGAAACCTTTATGCCGAGCGATATACTGATAGACAATGTTCAGCGAGAAATTATTTTAATCGTCTTGAAAATCATGTCCGAAGAGAGCCTAACCATGATCCCGAAGACAACTTAATCATTGACGAAGGAACGGGAATTGATATTTTAGCTAGAATAGGAGTTGATAAGACCGTTTCTTTAAGGCAAATTGGGTTTGAATTGGAAATTAGTCACCAAACAGTAAGCCGAATCTTGCACGAACATAATTATAAATCTTTCAAATATCAATTACACCAGCACCTGTACGGAAATGATTATGAACGTAGGATGGAATATTGCAATTGGATCTTGCAGAATAATATGCAGCCAAACAATGATTTTTTGGGAAGGATTTTATTTTCAGACGAGTCTAGCTTTACAAATATGGGATTATTCAAGCGACAAAATACAAGGTATTGTTCACAAGATAATCTTTCAAGTGCGGTTCGGTTTCAATGTTTGGCTTGGAATACTCGATCGTAGAATCATTGGTCCAATAATATTTGAAAGACCCTTGACTGGAGCTAGATACTTAGAATTTCTGCAAAATGACATTGAGGACAGGTTAACTGAATTACCTGTCCATTTACGACAGTTAATGTATTTCCAACAAGATGGAGCTCCCCCCCATAATTCAAGAATAGTAATTGATTACCCTCAACAGGCATTCGGAGAAAACGTAATTTCGACGAATGGTCCTGTGCGATGGCCTCCAAGGTCACCTGATTTGACACCTCTTGATTTCTTTGTTTGGGGCCATTTGCAAAACATTGTCTATGCAACCGCCGTTACAACTCGCGAGGATCTGTAGTTGCGAGTAGGACGCGCAATTAATAGTATAGCAATTAGCGAACGTTCTTCAAGAAACAGCTATGCGAGTTCAGAAGTGTATTAACGTTAATGGACAGCATTTCGAACAATTGTTGTTATCTTTCGTTTTTTTTGTATTTCAAAGCCACCTTAAGTAACTTCTTAGCATTAAATTAGAATGAAATAATTGTATTTTAGCTGTGATTTTGATTGTATTCATCGCACATTTTATCAGCAGTTATGGATAAATTGCTTATTAATAGTACTAATTAATGGTACCACGGTACCAATATGGTTCCATTTGAAAAAGTTGAGTTTTACCCCAAAATCGATTACGATGAATTTTATTTGCTCATAAAAAACGCAATTTAGTATTTTTGACGGGATTTCGATTTTTCTAGCATTAGACGGGTCAATTGAAATAAATCGGAACCATCACGGCACACTTAAATGGAAAACTAAAAATTGAAATATTGAACATTTTTACGTTTGAAATGTCACTAATGTAGTATCATTGGATTCAGAAAATTATGCAGATTTCAGAAATGTAATGATATACTGGGTGTTCCATTTGAAAATCGAGAGCTGGTATCACTTCCGGCGAAACCGGAATTGGAAAAAAAAAACATTTGTAGGTCAAAAAGTGCCTCTTATTATGTATATAAGATATCCCAAATTTCAATCAATTACCTCTGAAACTAACGGAGATACGGGGGGTGTACCATGATCCTGTTACACCCGGTATATCTGAGAAAGTTCCTTCTCAATAAGAAGAAATGTTGTCAATTTATTTCTGTATCAATTTCGAATTATCCTATTATATTCTCACAGACCAAATAATTGATGCAAAAAACTCACATCGGCTCGCTGTTTGAATAACAGATAGATCGTCAACCACTCGAGCAAAATCTCTGTTTTCATGTTTCCACTTCAACACTGTTCCAAGATACTTGATAATCGTACTGATTATTTTCAGATGTTTTTCACTTCCTATATATGGAATTTGCGATTATAAACAAACATTCGCTTTTAATTACTTTTAATCTCCTTTTGTCTCGATCACTGAAATTAATAATAAATATGCTTTTATTATTTTATTCTTAATAATATAAGCCTACTCACAAAGGTAGGTAAATATTTTCTGGATACTATATATTTCTCACAGGGTGATTATAACTTTGCGTAATGATTTCAGCAAATAATGTGTCTAGATATTTTCTTATTTTGAATGTTGAATCTAGAAATAATCATTGATGCATTCAGAATGTTCTGCGCTTGATAAACACAGTTTACACTGAGATATTTATGAAAAATGTGATGAATCCATTCCGAATAATATCCTAGAACATTTTCTCGTATATTTTTCTAGTTATCTAGATACGTGGAAGAAGTTGAAAATAATAATCATTGTTTATATTAGATGAGTGCATCAGTAAGTGTGTGAGGCAGAATGAATCAATAATCTGATTTTTTCAAATGGAATTACAATGGTTCCACATGAGGAGAGTATTGATTATGTTCCTCCAACAGAAAAAAAATTAAATGTTTCAATACCAACAAAAAAATCCGAGACATTCATCAGAATGAATTCATCTGAAACAATAATGATAAATAAATAACATTAATATATTTATCTGATGGCAGGTCACATTAACAACGTTATGTCATTCGAATTTGATGACATAAAGAAGCTCATTATGGGACCAAGTACCAGAATGAAATTCTATATGAAGAATATGTAATGGTGAGATCAAACAAGTTTATTCAAAATGCATAACTATATGTACAAAATTACCTATTATTAATTGTTAAAGAGAATCAACTACAATTTGCAATATTATTTCCAATGGATTCCAGAGTTTTTACATCAGTGATTGATGATTTTTGGTAAACTTGTAATCCTGTTTGGTTTTTGACACCAAAAATCACTTCCTCCATTACATATACTTATTCCTTTGAAAATAGTTGTCATTGTGACATATCAAAAATGCAATTTTCAATTTCTCGATTATATAAATGCCCACGTCGTGTTATCGGACTCGGCTACGCCTCGCCCGATAACAGTCACGACTTGTACCATAATGATCGTCTTTATGATCCTTATTACTTAAATACCTATTACGAGAGGAGAAAAATGTTGTCATCACCATATATTTCTGATATGCTTTGATTTATGTTAGTTTACATGTTTTTATTTCTGTATCAAGAAGGTGCTGACACACATTTTTGGATCACCTTATTATATTCTCACAGACCAAATTATCAATGAAAAAAACTCACTTCGGCACGATGTTTCAATGAGAGATAGATCGTCAACCACTCGAGCAAAATCTGTGTTCCCGAAATTGTCATATTAACTTTGTTACACTGTTTTTCAAAATAATCGATGAACAAACTGATTATTTTTATCTGTTTTTCACTTTCAATCTATAGAATATACCAAATCGATGATGAATATACATGAACCTATAATTATTTCCAATCCATCTCGTTTCGTCAAATCACCAAAATCCAATTATTATTCATTTGAACAACTACACTGAGAAACATAACTCACAACGGAGAACATCTGATGAAAATTATTGTTATCCGCTGAATGCCAAATGGCTATCACCACTTTATTAGAGTGAAACGCTCTGTATAAGTAGTTAATTCTTCAAGGAATTAGTGTTTGCGTCAGTTTCCTACCTAATCACTATTGCTCTTCACTCAGAGGAATAGTCGGTAGTGAATACCAAACGTCACTACATCCATCGAATAATACCTCATTCAGCAAAGGCAGTCAATCTACATTTGCTGCCGTGTGAAACATAGAACTTCTTCTTCAAATGATATTAAACCAATATTTTCTACAACTGCTATGAAAATAGGGCCTTTCTCATAGCTAACTTAGTTTCAAAACCATGTATTGCTCATACTGCTAGTAAAGTTGAACTTTAGCTCCTAGGAACTAAAAAGGAAGTACTGGACGTCATCAAGAATAAACAACATTGGTACGGTTGGTTATTTGGGTTGAGACGCATACCTGATTTGTTTCCGATTTCGGCAGATTTGGCATTTCATACCCATGCTGGAGATATAAATACACCTTATTATAGTTAAGTATTGAAATTATAAACATCCCAGTTGAGTGCTTTTGGGTGTATGATAAATTGACATTCATCATACAGGGCGTGGAAAGAAATTCTGAATTGAGACTCTATCACGAATCTGCGATTAGAGGTTTTTAAAAATCACAAGTTTCCATCGTTCAAGTTTGAACCCTCTGATTGGGAAGCCTTCAAGATTCAAATACTTGCTGGATCTGTATTTCATTCGTTATTCTTGGGATGGATAACTTGTTTTTGAATAATCACGGCAAGCAATAGTTTTTTGTCTCTAACAACGATATTGTTTACCTTCATTTGATTATCAAGCGAAAAACATTGTATTATGGAGAGGAGTAAATAATCGCTACTCACTAACCTAACATTTTCCACGTCTTGTTCCTATAGCTGGCACTGGCGCGGTATTTGAATGAACCTGCTGTTGATGCAAGTAGAATGTTCTCACTACACGGATTATTTGTGAATATTTGTTGCATTGCATACATATGGCACGGCTTTGGTGGTAACTACATATATTTATTTGAGTTAATTGTTTCGGTTGCAGAAAAAATAGCATATTCCATTCGGATCAAAAGTGACTTTGTTCAACTCGCAAATTGTGCTTTCGCTCGGCTTCGCTAAACGCTCCGCCTCGCAAATGTAAAATTCGCTTGTCAAACAAAGTGTCACTTTTGATCCTAATAAAACAATCTACTATTCTCATGGCACTTTGCCAACACCACATACATTTCCATGGAGAATCAACAAAAATCGACCAATACTTGGCTGGTTTTCAGCTTTGAATAGTTGTCACAACTGTCTGAAGAAGTTCTTTGAATTCTTCAGGGTATAGTTCTCATTAGTGCTTCTGATAGAACTCGCATTTTCCATCGAATATTATTCCAACAATTCATAATGAATAATATGATGTATATACCGAGATGTGACGATTTTGATAAATACACTGCCAGAGACAGAGATAATGGAAGAAGCTGCGAAGGTTGGATTTGTTTCCGGAAATTTCTAGAAAAAAGTATGAATTGGCATTAACGAAGAATTTATGGAATCTAAAAAAATACAGAAATAAAATCGTTTTCGGAAAGTGTACTTTTTTGAAATACTTTGAGGAACTAGGAAAGGCTTTCACTCTTTGGTCACAATATTCAAGGTGACATAGTGCCACATAATAAAATGAATACCAATAAGCTACATTACTCGGATTCTTTGAAGAAGTACAGTTGTAGAAAAAGTATAGTGTGCAACATGTGGTGAAAAGCACTTTTCTCACTCGTGTGTTTGCATCACTCGCCCTTCAGGCTCGTGCCACAAACTTTCACACTCGTGAGAAAACTTGAACTCTTTCCACTTGTTGCACAATATACTATTGTGTAATTTTTTATTGAATACTCAATCATTCTGTGTTCACCCAATGTCAGTGCCAATTTTGATTACTCATTTCTTCAAAATTTCTTGGAATGTTGCATAGCGACAAACTTTTTCTGCCTAGGCAGCAAAAGTACACCTTTTATGCCTATAAAAGCGGCAGGAAAAAGCCACTGTCCCTGCCGCTTGTAGGAAAGTACTATTTCGTAGTGGTAATATTTCATTTGGAATAATATTGAACAATTTTGTAGGGGTATTATTAGATGAATGTAGTCACTGGCGCCTATTTCACTGAACGTTTGGTATTCACCACCGACAATTTTTTCCAGTATTGTGGTGATCCAATAGACGAAGAAATAGTATACTATTCAACAAGCACGGAATAATAATCATTCCTCACGAATATGGATTTATGAGCTGTGGGAGTGCTGTGCGGAAATAAATCTCATAATAATAATACACTTAGTTCCAAAAAACTTGACGCACTTGAAATTTGACCTATCTTCTTGAAAAAAAAAATAGTAGGCCGATTTTTATTTTTATTCTATTTGTTGGTAGGTAATGCATTTGTCTTAAAAAAAATTAAGGGGTGAACATGTTTTCAAAGCCTCCTTGATGGTGGTGGAATGACTCGAACCATGATTTATTCTTAATTTTTAACTCACCCTGTGTGTTAATTCAGTAATGGTATACAAAGTGCTTACACCCTATACGATAGAGGCTTCTTTCGCATTTTGTTTCCTCATTCGTTGATTTATCTCTGAAATTTTCCGAATTACAGCTTTTTTGCTGATTCCTCACGCTTAACCCACAAATTAAATTTATTGAAGGATCAGAGTACTCAAAATTGATTGGGTTGTACTCTGGTAGGATCACATTGTCTTTAAAAAAACAAATGCTGTTGCCATAGCAACGTATTTGTTGTATGCCTTCATATTTGACCATTTGTCGATGTGTCATTAATCAAGTGTCTTGTTTTATTGACTTAAATTACATAAAATGCCTCAAATAAATCCTGAACAAGTAGCAAGATTAGTTGCGTTAGTAAACGATGGGCGTAGTAAACGTTACGCCGCTTGTGCAGTGGGAGTTCATGAAGCAACTGCTCGTAGAGCAATCCGCAAGTACGAACAAACAGGAAGCACCGCTCGAAGGATCGGTTCTGGTCGCCCACGAAAAACTTCTCCAAGAGATGATCGCTTCTTGAGATTGCGGATTTTAAGGAATCGATCAAATACTGCGATAAATGTTCAGCAAGATCTTCGCCAAATTCGTGATGTTGCATCAGTAAGTAAGCAGACGGTATGTAGACGTCTAAAAGAAGTTGATTCAAAAGCTGGGAGACCTGCAAAAGGTTCCAAAGTATTGCCCGAACATCGTGCTGCTAGAAGAAATTTTGTTAAAAATTATGGACAGTGCAGGAATTTTCCTGAATGGTCGAATGTCTTGTTTACAGATGA